GTGGGACGGATCACGTTCTGAGGGGTTTGGCGTCTGTGGCTGCTTTGTTTGAGTCTCGTCTGATGGCTGATGGAGACGTGTTTTATATACGGCTGAGGCCAGACTCGCTCAAACGGCACCACAACAAGTTTATTAAAAAGAGGAGAAGTTGGGCTCTTCTGATCCTGTGGAATGAAGCTGCTTTGTGCCAGCTGATGATTGAGATGGTGGTTCTGCAGACCTGCTCTCGTCATGTCTGAGGCGTCTGGAGGTGATTTGTTTCTCTGAAGGGAACAGAACAACATCAGCGGCTGCTTCTGTTTAGCCCTCGTCACACATTCAGGTCCGTTTTGACCTGGAAGAGATGCATGAAAAATTCTACAAAATGCATAGTTTTTAATAAGGTACCAAAACTTTGCAAATACTTTAAGATCATAAAAATACACTTCCACCTACCCCCCCCACCCCCCCACAGATTTAAAAAATATATTTTTTAAGAGAAAAAAAAATGTTAATTAATAATTTTAATAAAAATTTAATTAAAATTAAAATTAATTTTTGTTTGAAAACTTTTCAGATTAATATTTGTTGTTTTGTTAGAAATAAATATGTAGGGTTCATAAATTTGAAATGTCTTAAATTAAATTCCACTCATTTATGGTATATTAAAATTACATTTTTATATGTTAGAAAAATGTAGATAAGATTGTAAATAGTTATAAATTCTTATCAATATTGTGTGTATTTATATATATACACACACACACACACACACACACACACACACTCACTCAGACACAAGACTCAAACCCCCCCCCATGAGTCTGAAGTCACATGACGCTCAGACCGCGGTCTTGTGAACAGACCTGAGGTTAACCACACTAATGCTCGTCCCGCTCCGTATATGCATATTTACGACTCCTCCATTAACATAACACAGGGTTTTTTCCTGAGCGGCTGAGCTGATGTGGCCGTGGTGCATTGTGGGACGGATCACGTTCTGAGGTGTTTGGCGTCTGTGGCTGCTTTGTTTGAGTCTCGTCTGATGGCTGATGGAGACGTGTTTTATATACGGCTGAGGCCAGACTCGCTCAAACGGCACCACAACAAGTTTATTAAAAAGAGGAGAAGTTGGGCTCTTCTGATCCTGTGGAATGAAGCTGCTTTGTGCCAGCTGATGATTGAGATGGTGGTTCTGCAGACCTGCTCTCGTCATGTCTGAGGCGTCTGGAGGTGATTTGTTTCTCTGAAGGGAACAGAACAACATCAGCGGCTGCTTCTGTTTAGCCCTCGTCACACATTCAGGTCCGTTTTGACCTGGAAGAGATGCATGAAAAATTCTACAAAATGCATAGTTTTTAATAAGGTACCAAAACTTTGCAAATACTTTAAGATCATAAAAATACACTTCCACCTACCCCCCCCACCCCCCCACAGATTTAAAAAATATATTTTTTAA